TGTGTAAATCAGACAATTCTCGTCACGCGAGGTAGGGGTGAGCGCGGTTCCAGGGTAGAACCGAGAACCGGAGAACCGGACCCGGTGGGTCCGGTTCGGTTCCAAGTTCCATGGACAGAGGGTCCGGTTCTCGGTTCCCCATTTTTAGGAACCGGTTGTCCGGTTCCGGTTCCCGGTTCCTATAGGAACCGGACCCGGAACCTGGAACCGGAATCGGATTGGAACCGGGAACCGGAGCCGAAACCAAGAACCGGGACCAGGAACCGGATGCCTAAAAATTAAAATATAAACTAAACACTTGGTTATTTTAGAAACCCTAATTCCCAAATCCATCATTGTCCCTCCCGCTTCCACTTCCGCCTCGCTCCCGCTTGCGCTCCGCCTTGCTCTCGCTCCTGCTTCCACTTCCGCCTCGCTCCTGCTTTCGCCTCGCTCCCGCTTCGCCTCGCTCCCGCTTCGCTTTCGCCTTGCTCCTCGCTCCCGCTTCCGCCTCGCTCTGCCTTCTTCGACGCAGTCTCGTGATCTCCCCACGCGGATTCGCTCCGATTAGTCGGGCTCGTCGCCGTCTTCCTCCTCTGAAGCTCCGTTTCTCTGGTACGTAACGTGTTTGAACAACCCCGCCATTCACGCCTTCTCTCTTTGAATTCCCGCCGTTGCTTCGTTCATCTTTAGCATCGATCGATTGAATTCGGTCACGACGATCGTGTTCGTGCTTGAGTTGCGTGAAATCGTGCTCTTGCGTGCACATTCATCTGGATTCATCGCCTAGTAGAAATGAGACGAGGAACAACGATGAACGGATGACGAAGCTGTTCCGAACTTGAAATTCCAGTCATTCGATTTCGATATTCAATCAAGATCACGCTCTTGCGCGCAATCGGAAAATGTAGGAAGCGACTGTGTTGTTCTCTGCTTCGATTTAAGTGACGGCATGTTTGATTCTGTGTAGAGTTGCTGTTGTTGGATCGCTGTTATATCAAGAGAAATTGCGCTTTTAACAGATACGTTTGAATCTGTTGTGTGTGCGCTTGTCGAGCGCATACTTGTGCTCGTGAGTTGCATGATTGCTTGCTCTGAGGAAGTGCTCTCTTTTTCTTATATTTTCATGTGGAAGTCTTAATGTTGACGGTGTAAGTCATTTTCGTAGAGCATGAGAATTGGGGTTTAGAGTTCTTATTAGGAACTTGGACAGAATCAAAATGGATTGGTAAGGGGGATGACTAAGTTGATATCAATTTCTACAGATGAAGCAGAACAAAATTGCAATTAAAAGGCCTTGGAATCAAGTCATTCAATGATGGAAACGCTTCAAACTTAAGAGCTGGTGTTATGATCAGTGGGAATTATTTGATTTATGTGATATTCAAAAAGCAAAGCTACCAATTACCAAAGATGCAATTTGATTTGATAAAATTGTCTTAAGATATAGCAATCACTTTGTTTCACTTCTGTTGCTTTAAATCATCATTACTTTTGTTGTTGCTGTGAAATATAAATTGTATTTTTTGGGCAACTCATGTTTGTTTCCTTCCATACCTCTGTAGGTTGTTATAAATTGCAACATTCTTCTGGAATATGGCTGTCTGCTAGGGGTCTCATCGGTTAGGTGGATGGGTTCTTGTCTGTTCACTTGAAATTAGATGCATTCAGCATGTTATTAGTGGAAGATTATGAAAGCAGTGTCCCGAATGTTCTGAAATTGAAGATGCACGTACGACTCATTTATCATCCATGATTTATCGATCTACTTTTATATATGCTGCAATTTGTTGAGGAGTATGCTAATCCCTCCTTTAAATCAATGTAATCACAGCTTAAATAAGCTTGAGCCACATCCTAGAAATTTTTTGCTTCTTGAGCTCTCTCTGTCTGTCTCTCTGTCTCTCTCTCTCTCTCTCTCTCTCTCTCTCTCTCTCTCTCTCTCTCTCTCTCTCTCTCTCTCTCTCTCTCTCTCTCTCTCTCTCTCTCTCTCTCTCTCTCTCTCTCTCTCTCTCTCTCTCTCTCTCTCTATAAATATATTTATCGCTGTGTGTGTGTATCTTTCACCTAGAAGATACATACTGATGGATCAAATGGTTACTATCCTGTTGTGAATGCTCGCCTCGTTCCCAAATCAACTGCTTGAATATAAAATCTTATTGTTGATCCCGGAAATGAGTTCTCCTTTCATTCTCAATTGCGCTTAGCGTGAGTGAAATAGAAGCATTATATGAACTTTTCAAGAAGATCGGCGATCTTTGTAGTTGATGACGGGCGATCAACAAGGTAATGATGCATCTATTTCGACCTTTTCGTAAAGACTCCAATCATGTCCAGGTCTTTGTTGCTTTAACCTTATAATGGGCGAGTTTAAGGGGGAAGTGCGATTTTGTTCCAAATTATATCAACATTTTAATGTGAGCTTCTTTGCTTGAAATTTGATGCTCTCTAATTTCTGCTTTTGTTTTGTTCTGCAGGAGGAATTTCAATTAGCACTCTTTAAGACAAATAAAAAGGAGAGCCTGTTTGCAGATAGGGTAACTTTTTTTACTTAATCTTCTCTTGATTTAGTTTCGTGCTTGCCTTGGTTTTCCTCCTTCTTCACAAGGGCATCATGTTTGAACATTCTTGAACGTATATTTTAAACTGCGACAGAGGAAAAACATCTTGCACAATAAACCGAGATGCAAACGTATGGCCTATGTGAGCTGCTTGGATTGAAAGATATAATCCTTTTGTTCATTTTTAGGTAGTTTTGGCCTGGATTTATTAAAATAAGTAACAGGACCTACACAGGAAGTGCTGTAAGATTGTGCAATGACGTCCTTACATGCGCTTGTGCTTGTGCTTGTGCATGTGCAGGCACTTCTATGTTCTTGCATGTAAGAGAGACAGACTGTCCAATGTGGATGTCGTAGTCTACCAAAGTTCTGGTGGAAATTGACTAGCTCCATTCCGTCTAATGTGCTTCAAATTAGCTGCACCAGTGGAATGCAAGGGTATTGTGGGTAGTGATGACTGGTTATCCTCTTGGGACAGCTTATCTTACCTCTTTTTTGTTTGCTGGTTGATATGTGATCATTTTAAGTCTAACATCACCTTCTACTCACAATTTGTTTGAACAATGTGCTTTCATTGTTCATGCCATTTTGGATATTTTCATTATCTTGCTGCTTTCCTCCTCAATAATTGTTGCAATTATAGTTTAGTTCTATCCAGGCATTTGTAAACTTGGCATTATATCTCTTGAATATCACATCAGGGCATTGTGTATGTATCATTCAGATGATCTAATATTACGTTTATTTTCGTTTTGTTTAATTCAAAACAAAATTAAAAAAAAAAAAGAACCTGTTGGAACCTGGAACCGACCCTGGAACCTGTGACAGGGTAGGTTCCAGGTTCCACATTCAGACGGGTAGGTTCCAGGTTCCTCAAAATGAGGAACCTGTACCCGAGGGTAGGTTCCAGGTTCCAGGCGGAACCTACCCGGAACCTGGAACCGCTCACCCCTAACGCGAGGTATGAGGCTCGAGAGTGACTCGGTCTTTGGATTAATGAACTATTTGATTTGTCCTTCAAACGAATCAATTAATGTTTACATATTTCGATAAATACCTCTTGCCCTGATCAATCGGGACAGGTAAGTCGCGACATCATCGGCGCCTTTGAAAATCACTTCTCTCAATCGTACCCGCCGTGGAAAACCATCGAGTGGTGTGAAGAGACGGGTGGCGCGGGGCCTCGTGTTCACCGCCGTTCAGCGCCGTTTTTTTTTTGTCACACCGTACCTGTCTGTTCGCTCCTTGTCGAAGGCAGGTATGGATGATGATGGGCCACGAGACAACGGTGAAGAAAACGCAGAGCTTCCCTTATCTCGACGTGCAATCGAGCCTACCGCACAGCCCCAGAAAAGAAAAGATAACGCAACTTGTGCACCTGTCATTTGTACTCTAACAGCTTGACTTAGACCCGGTTTTCTACCCGGTCCCATTTCACGGCCCACAACTTCGTCCCCCAGATGTAACAGGATGACGCCTAGGTTCCTGCGTGTTCATTCCGTTTTCCACACGATGTCGAGAGAAGAATCTCTAAACGATCCTCGCTTTGTCGGCTCGACAACCTTGGACCTTAGATTACTTTTCATGCTCTCCCCGTATCGGATCGAATGGTGGAAGTGGGCGACGATGTCCACACGGGTCACCAGCATCAATGATGGGGAAGTGTCGTTGAGCGAGTAGCTTGACGAGGCAAGACCCGACCGTCGTCTCGAATTCAATGGGAGCTTGGTTTTTTTTTAACGAACGGACTTGATTCGGTGAATTACGTGTGCGCTCTTCACGCACGTTTGAGCTCGGCTTAAATCGACTCGATAATACCTATGATGCAATTATTATATAATCTTAACTTCTTAAAATGCACTAAAACTGAAAATTAGATGAATAAGAGGGAATCGATAAGCAGGCACTTCATACATTTAAACTTCGATTTAATTTGGCAGATCGTCATCAATGATAGGTATCATCAGGACCGACGAGTTGCTTCCGTTCAAACACAACTAGTTCATTACATTTCATCGCCTTTAAAGTTAATCGACTCGATGCTGCATCGCCAACCTCTCAATGTTTTTCAGTTTCGACATCGTCGAGCGTTTGAATTTCTCGACCCGATCAATATCCTTACAAAGATTCCCTTATCTCGCAATTGAAATCGAAAGACATTGAACCCGAGATGTCGAATTCTCACCTTCTAATCAATTGGCTGGCGGTCACCTCTGCGATTGAATTTTCTAGTCCTTCTTGGTACGACTTGTCAAAGGACAAGGAAGTCGCTATTTTTGTGTTTTTTTCAAAGGAAAAGAAGGTGGGTGGGCCCAGGGTGGGGTCCTCAGGAAGCCACGCAACCGCATTCGCCCACGCCCACCGTCGGATCCGATCGGACGGCTCCAAATCGCCCCGAAACCGAAGCTTCGTCTTCGTCTTCGTCTTATTTATACCTCTATGCAGAACTCCCAGCCGATGCTCTTCATCACTGAAAACTTCACTTCGCAAAGCTCGCACTCTCGTACTTCGCTGCGAAACAATCCGCGAGATGGTGTCGTCGAGCACCTTGATGGCATCCCTGAAAGCCCTGCTCGTGTCGGCCGGCGCGGTGTCCATCGCCGCCGTCGCTCTCGGGGCCGCTGTTCCATCGATCCCCGGCCCTCTGGGTCCTCGGCTGCCTCCCGCGCTGGGCTGGTTCCTCTCGTGGTTCAGGCCTTCGTACCCCTTTCTCGTCATCAACTTCATCATCGCCGCCATCGCCGCCACCTCCAGGTGCTTCCACCGAGCGCAGCCGGAGAGGATCGCGATCGCGGTCGTGGAGGAGATGGAGGTCATGGAGGCGACGGCGGCGGCCGCGGCGGAGGCGTTCGACGAGTCTAAGGATTTTGAGGAGAAGAGAGTGGTGGTGGTGGTGGCGGCGGCGGGGAATGGCGGGGGATCCGGCGGCGGAGATGGATATAACGGTGACTGCGAAGGGGAGAGGAAGGTGGCCTTTAGGAGGTCCGCGTCGGCGCGGCGGAGGCAAGTGGACTCGTCGGAGAAAGCTCAGGTTCCGCCGAGGCTCATTCGCCGGAAAGCCGCCGGCGGCGACCATCTGCAAGGTAAGAAGGGCGAAAGTGAGGTGATATGAATTTCGAAGTTCGCGTACGAGCAAGAAAGTGACGAGGATGACGGGACTGCCTTCTTTTGATATTTCTGTCAACGGATTTACGAAATCAAGTCAACATATTCACATAATATTGCTTTTTTTTCATGAGATTTAATTTTTTTTGTATCAATGTAATTCGCTTTGTATTAAGTATAGGGGGCAAAGCTTTAAGAAGATCGAAGGAAAACATGGAGCACGTTTTGAAAGCGATAACAGAGGCGGAGGCAGGGGTGGGGGCGGCGATATCAGCGACACGACGTGTGAAAGTGAACGACGCCGACCACCAGATCAGCTTGCTGGAGCTGTCGCCGCCGCCATCGCTACCTTTGATACAGAAATCGGCGACGTTGAAGGATCGGACCAATCGGCAACCGCCCCTCTCGCCCATTAAGTTGAGCCGGGACGATCTGAACCATCAAGCCGAAGCATTCATTAACAAGATCAAGAAGTTGCAAAGACAGGAGTCGGTGAATCAAAACGAGGAGATGATCAATTGGGAACGCAGGGCCATGGAATTCGCCAAAGGAGTGAGTAGGTATAGTGAAGTGTATAGGTGACAAGGTTTTCCTTTTTTGATTGTAAAAAGCATTGTGGGAGGAAAATGATGATTTTTTTTTTCATTTCCCTTGAGACCTAAGTTTGTGAAATTTATTTTTAGGAGCCATACTATAGTCAGGTCCGAAGATAGCTGTAATTTTCGTTGTTCTTGGGATTGCATATATACTTTTTATAGGGCTTTTTGTGGGGTTGATGCAAATTCTTGTACAGGAAAGATAGAAAAACCAGATACGTTGAGTCAATGGTGAAATTGGAAAAAGAATTTCTTTATGTTCTTTACTTTCAATGGTGCAAAATTCTTCATTATTTTCCTTTATTAATTATTAATTGTAAGTTCTTTATATCGATTCTCTTCTTTTCTAGTGATGGGCCCACGATTGGCAGCAAATGGGCTCCACTCTATGGGCTTCATCATATGGTCCGTTTTGACCCGGATCCGCCTGGGTGTAGTGTCCAACAATAGGTTAAGCCCAAAAGAGACTTACAACAAACTTTAGTTGCTAATTGTACAAAGGAAAAAAGAAAAAAAAAGATAATGCTTAGTATACTAAGGGTGTGGGGGGGAGCTATAAAAGGGTTTTCATGAAGTGCAAATAGCGTTCGGTGGGCTTTTTAGAAAGCAATTTTTTAAAGAAAAAAGAAAGAAAATGGAGAACCGGTGTGGATCCAACCATCGTGAAGGTAAATCCGGTGGAAGCAATTGGAGCCTGCGAGGATCGACCAGTCGAAGAGGGCAGGCAAGGTGGTGTTGAAGTCGCGCAACCTCAAGCGGCCTAGACGAGGCAAAGTCGAGGGTCGCGCGACATGATGTTGTGCCACCTCAATGACTTCGATCAAGCAAACCCATATCTCGAAAAACCTAGATTTCAGCACTCAACAACCTTCAACAAGCCTTGCATGATCCTCGGCTATCCTTGACCTCCACATCTCGCCTCAACCCTCCAAATCTCGCCTGATAGACCCACGACTGTCCACGATCGATTCTTGACGACACTTGACCCACGACTGTCGACGATCGGGCCACATTGATGCTAAAGTGCTCCTTGCCTTTTTTTACTCAGTTATCTCACCGGGAAAATTACCAAAAAAATTTCAAAAAAAGAAAAAGCGCGAATTTTACCTTAAGTGACAATTTTGGCACAAACTTTTTTTTGTCCCAATAAAAAGCACAAACATTTACTCAAGTCCCAAATTTGGTCTCTTATTTCAGAAAAAATCGTTTCTTATTTTTGTTCTAGAAACAAAGAAGTAGAATTTTTTTGCTTCTTGTTTCTGTTCCAAATCTATTCCATGATCACTTTTTTGTTCCAGAAATAAAAAAAATAGATTTTTTTTGCTAAACGGATTTTTGTTCTTTTTCTGTTCCGAGGAACAAAAGAACAGAAAAATAAAGAAATACAAACGATGCCAGGTGGCTGGCTGTTTATTTTCTTTATAATTATTTGGTTGTGCACCTTTAATATATTGGTTGTTATTTTCCATTTTTAGCATGATTAGGTGGAATCTTAGCTTTTTCAATAGGCTGTCCGGTACGTTAGTTTGCGAATGTTCAAGTTTAGGTACCGAAATGGCACTAGTTAGATCGTTAGTGTAATCAAGTCTCCGATCTTTAGAAGATCTGATTTTCGCACATATCGAGACGACATTCCCACGTCTTGATTAGGGTTTCTAGCCAATCATTGATTATGGCTAGTGGCGACTCCAATCAAATGTGTAAATTAGATAATTCTCGTCACGCGAGATATGAGGCTCGGGAGTGCCTCGGTCTTTGTATTAATGAATTATTTGGTTTGTCCTTCAAACGAATCAATTAATGTTCACGTCGTTTAGCAAATACCTCTTGGCCTAACCAATCGAGACGGGTAGGCCGCAACAACATCGGCGCCTTGAAAATCACTTCTCTCGATCGTACCCGCCGTGGCAAACCCTCGAGTGGTGCAAAGAGAAGGGTGGCGCGGGGCCTCGTGTTCACTGTCGTTCAGGGCCGTTTTTTGTCACACCGTACCTGTCTGTTCGCTCCTTGTCGAAGGCAGGTATGGATGGTGATGGCAGACGAGACAACCGTGAAGAAAAGGCAGAGCTTCCCTTATCTCGACGTGCAATCGAGCCTATCGCACAGCCCCAGAAACCAAAAGATAACGCAGCTTGTGCACCTGTCATTTGTACTTAATAGCTTGACGTAAACCCATTTTTCTACCCTTTCACATTTCAAGGCCCACAACTTCGTCCCCCACAACTTCGTCCCCCACATGTAACAAGATGACGCCTAGGTTTCTGCGTGTTCATTCCGTTTTCCACACGATGTCGAGAGAAGAATCTCTAAACGATCGTCACTTTGTCGGCTCGACAACCTTGGACCTTAGATTACTTTTTATGCTCTCCCGTATCGGATCGAATGGTGGAAGTGAGCGACGATGTCGACATGGGTCACCAGCATCAATGATGGGGAAGTGTCGTTGAGCGATGGCTTGAAGTATCCCAAGTCAAAGTCAATGCTTGGTCTCGGGGATAAGGCCACGTATTGTGATAAGCCTCGCATATATTTGGGTCGCGGTCTAGCAAGACAGCTTGTTTAATCATATATGTATGCCGATGGATCAATACCAAAGTGCTGCTGAGACATAAAGAATCGATTTTTGTCGACCATTTCGCGCAAATCATAGCAGACCTCACGCGATTTCAAAGAAGGATACATGAATTACCTTTAGTTGATACTGGGAAGGCCTAATGTTTATCGTCGGGATTGTTTTCCTTTGTCAATTTTGTTGGATGTTTCATCGGCTTTGAATTATTCGAAACAATTGTTTTGTAACAGTTTTAATGGAAAGTATGACTGCAATCAATTTTTAAGAGCTTTGTAACGTTTGATTTGATTTATTTCTTTATTAACCATCTCCTTTATTTGTCTATAAAGAAAATCTCTAAATCACAATAAAAACATACAAAAGAACAAGAAATTCTCTCTCTTTTTCCGTTTATTTGCTGAGTCATGTTCCCTCGATTGCTCTTATGCGGAGTAAAGATGAAGATTTATTATATCTCGAGAGGATAGCCACTAGAGCCCGACGCACCGAGTTTGAATGAATGAAAACTAATCGATTTGTGGAATACATTTTCCATGTACTGAGAACAATAAACTTAGATTTGGGAAAAAAAATATGACTTCCTTTTGTGGCAATAAGGAAATCACTTTTCCTAATCCACTAAATAAGTGAAAATTAACCATTTTCATTTGAAAATAATTATCATGGAAAATATTTTCCATTAACATGAAATTTTTAGTTAAATAAACACATTCTTGGATTCGAAAAATTAACAAGGTCGAGGGTTTGATCGCCCAAAATTGCAAAATCAAGACCATATTGAAAAAACAACGCAAGTTCAAGAATCGAAATTCACACCGTTTCCATAAACCCTCGAGCCACGGCCAAAAGATCTCTAATCCAGACCCAAAATGCCACACGAGATCACTCGTGATCATAGTGCGATCTCATATTAGAAAATTGGGTGCGTAAGATGCATACGATACTATTACCCGAGCACTAATCTCAATGAACCCGATACAATTTATATGAATTACATTTGAACAGTCTTATCAAATAAATGTATCTTTCTCTCTCGTCCGCCACCGGCAAACATAGGAGCGTGCACTGTGCAGTGTAGTCTACGAGGGCGAAGCATCTGTTGACCAACTTCAAAGATGAAAAAGCTCCTAATGGAGAAAAGTATCGGCTAAAAAAAGATTATCCAGGTTTTAAATGGACCGACCAACAACGACCCCCTTTCGACGCAAGCGAGGAGAGAGCACTATCCAAAAGTGGTGGAGACATTTGGAAGGGCCATGTTCGTGGGGGTGTGGGGGAAACACGATCAATCTAGAAGCTACAAATTCGCGGCTTGAATTGACCTCCAATTTGAATAATATGTGACCAAGGGTAGTTTATCCACAATAGTTTTTAACTAATCCGCAGTTCTTTTTCTATTATATGTATTCAAAGCTGGAGCTGAGAGAATGCCCGCTCTTGTACTCGTCACGTGACACTCCACTTTACCTCCGTGTGAACGTCACGAGGCGAGCCAAACGGCCCTCATTCGATCAATTAACATCAGTTTAGTTAGTCATCCTCAAATATCTAGAAATGGATATGAAGAACGTATGTTCAAATGTATTTTTAGATGTATTCAATCAATAGAATAGATAAAAAGTGCGTCCTCCTCCGGGAAAATTACCAAAAAAAGTCATAAACCTATTACATTTGTATCAATTCAGTCCTAAATCTTTTCACGTTTTGCCAATTGAGTCCAGACTGGAAAATGCTGACGTGGCGGTCCAATTAGTGCCGGCCGTCCTATGTGGCATACCGATACTAACGTGTACAATTTTTTAAAATTTTTCTGACCCTTTTTTTATATTTTTTTCCTTTTTCTTTTTAATTTTTCTGTTTTTCTCTTTCCTTTTCACCAATGGCCAGTCTCAAGCGATAGCCAGGCCGCCCTCGGTAGCCATAGACAAGAGCCGGCCTCGCCTAGGTAGGGCAAGAGTCACCTGGTCAAGCGAGCGCCGCCATCGACAATGGCCCATGTAATTGACGTTTGACATGAGAACATATGGAAGAGATTAGGATGTGGAACATGTTCCGGAAGTTGCATTGCATCACCTCACTACTTGGCATACGAGGGAGATATACACTTGTGCGTCATACCTTCGATCGATTTGAGTCGACGATGTTGACTTGTAGTCGTTTCGAGCCAATGAGGACAGCCACACTTGTCGTGCGTTTCTGGCAAGAAGACAGTGTCCAAACACAATGGGCGATGGAATGTCATGTTTCTCCTTAGCAAATTTAGCTGTCAACATTTAATGTGAGTTTCGAGGAATCTCGCGATTTCAATTTTTGAGATTGGTATATTCAATCTTAGACAGAGATTTCCTGCGCTACGTGCTATTTGATTATCAATCCTAATTTGGTATAGTTTCTTTTTTAATATCCACCCGTTTGCCTAGCGGCGCTCATCGTATTATTCAATGGGCGTGATTCGGTGAGGATGCCGCTTCAATATCATTTATAGCGACCCGAGTTGATTAACCGTACCACAAGGGTTTGATGTAGAGGCATGCTAAGCATAGCAATTGCCGTCGTTCATTTATTTCAAACACCGAGTTCATTTAATAGGATACGGCAACCGCATGCCAAAAATTTGCCCGAAATGGTGGATTTGTAAATCTTTTATTGAAAATTCAAGTCATAAAAATATCTTTCTTAAAACCGGCGCTTCTG